AAATGTCTGTTCCAAGGCATACCCGAACACTGAAATACTGCTCAAACAATACTAATACCCAAAAAGGGAGACACCACAGACCTGAAAAATTATCGACCAATTTCACTTATTTCACAACTTTACAAAACATTTACAAAGATTATTACAAACTGGTTAACAATTAAATTTGACGGATATCAACCATTAGAATAAGCCGGATTTAGAAAAAGGTACAGCACCTGTCACCATCTATATACTATGAAAATCGTAATAGAAAAAACTAACGAGTACAATCTTAATCTCAGGTACAGAATATTATTACATAATATTTATGAAAAAGCTGAAATGATAGTGACGTTGGGTAATGGAATCGAAACAAGACCTGTAAAAATCAAGCGAGGAGTAAGAAAAGGAGACACAATATCTCCAAAATTATTTACGGTTGCCCTAGAAAATATCTTGTAAGTCAATAGACCAAGAAAATAAGGGAATACCTATTAACGGAAGATACTTGAACCATCTTAGATACGCAGATGATGTAGTACTAATAGCCGACACTTGGAATGCACTGAATACGATGATTTAAGAGCTACACACAAAATCCCTAAAAAAAGGACTCAAAATGAATTTCAACTAATTGAATATTAATTTTCAATGAAAATGAATTTAAACTAATGTCAAACAAAGATGACAAACCTATGATAAATATCGAAGGGACAGAGATAGAACACGTAGATGAATATACATATCTGGACCAAAATGTCAATGTAAGCAAAGAAAATTCAGACTACCGAAATAAGCAGACGTGTAAAAATTGGATGGGCAGCATTCGGAAGACTCTAATACATACTTAAAAATAAAAATATACCTCAAAGACTGCGAACCAAAGTGTTTAATTCCTGTATCCTACCTGTACTTACATATGGAGCTCAAACCTGGACATTCCCTAAAATAAACATGGAGAAGATCAGAAACACTCAGAGAGCTATGGAACGACAGATGCTGGGTATCTCACTTAAAGACCATAAAACCAATGAAGACATTCGTAATAGAACAAAAGTAAAAGATACTGTCGAACAGGCAGCTAAACTGAAATAGAAATGGGCTGGACATAACGAACGTCTTACGGATGGCTGATGGAATAAAGAAATCGGGAGTTGGCGGCCATATGAAGCCAAAAGACCACGAGGAAGACCGCAAATGCGCTGGAGCGATGATATTAAAAGAACTGCAGGACCAATCTGGAAACGTCTTACAAACAACAGAGATTAATGACGAGAATTAGGAGAGGTCTATATTCGGCAATCCGAATAGAGAGGACTTAAAAAAGCTTTTTACTAATAGACGTAGGTACTTTAAAGGGTGTGTTTTTAGGCTAATTGTTACTAATATAAAAAATCCACCAAATCCACTACAGGAAATATTAAGGTTTTAATTATTGAGGTCTATAAAACTAAAAAAAGCCGCGTCAAAGTCTCTAACATGATACTTTTTTTTATCGTATTTCTCTGTATTAGTACGGGACATCTTGTATGGTCTTAATGGTGGCCAAGATGGTTAGTGCGCGATCAAAATCGAAATGAGAATCACCTAGTACGTCAAATTATGGTAAGTAAGGAAACTAAAACAAAAATAATTTTGGGAGCAGACAATACATATCTATCTATAAAGGCACAATAGGAACATATAAAGGACTGTTTGGGAATAAAAGCAATGATATAGCAATACAATAAAAAAATTTTAAAGGAACATGACTATTTCTGTACCTATATCCTGGATTTTAGTAAAGTTCTCAAGAACATTTGAAATGATCTTGAAAGGTTTCAATAAATAAAAAAGATACCATCACTAATCAATAGGACATATTTTTCATTCCATTTACAGTAGTCTCTCTTTATAACGATTCCCTATATAACGATAATTCCTCAATAACGATGAAAATAGTAAACTTTGGTTAGTTCGTCATAAGGACAATTGTATTAATTATTTCTCTATACCGATATCGTTCTCTCTTTATAGCGATGACTTTTCAGGCTTCAATAGTCGATGACAAATGTGTTATTTGTTTAAAGTTCAGACTACCTGAGTCAGCAAGGGCAACGTCATTGTCCAGCGGTTGTTTTGTTTTGCGCTTGAGGAATGCTTATTCTACTTCTTATCAGAGGATTAAGTGACTCGCTTTTATTGTTCGGGCGGCGTGCCTAACTGTTATGACACAGATGTTGTCATCTATTGACAACTTTTCATTTTCAGTTTGATTTGTGTCTCAGTGTGTCAACAGTCAGCATGTTTTCGAAAAAGCGTAAAGTGCTCTCGGTGGAGGAAAAGTTATCGATAACTCGAGCAATAGAGAAAGGTGAAAATCAATCGAATGTCGCTCCCCATACGGGGTTATCTCAGTCAACTGTGGCTACGATATGGAAAGACAGAAAAAAGTGACTTGAAGCGGAGATAGAGGAAGGAAGCTTGAAGCAGAAAGAAGTTGCGGTAACCTCAGCACGAAGGATTTAGATCGCGCTATGCTTCAGTGGTTTCAGCAGCAGTGGTTTTCTGTGGTCAAGAAAAAAGCTGAGTTTTGCAACTGAGCTTGGAATTGAGAATTTCAAGGCAACTGAGAGTTGGTTGAGCTAGTGAAAGTTGCGGCACAAGATCAACTGTGGTCAAATCAGGGGAGAGGCTCTCGATGTTAACAAAAACGTAATAGATGATTGGCTAGAAAACGTGTGGCCTGGGCTGAAGGCACGATATGCGGCAGACGACATTTTCAATGCTGATGAGACAGAATGACACAAAACAGAACTTTAAAATTTAAGTCGGAAAAGTGTGTGGGTGGAAAGCTCTCTAAGGAACGCATTACAGTTTTAGTGGCCGCTAACATGACAGGTTCGGTGAAGCGAAAGTTGTTAGTGATAGGAAAGTCAATAAAACCCACGTTGTTTTAAAAATATAAAAAATCTACCAATGACCTATAAAGCAAACAAGAGTGCATGGATGACTTCAGAAATTTTTGAAGAAGCGATAAGAAAGTGGGATATCGAGCGTAAAAGGAAAAAAATTCTGCTTGTGTACAATTGTCCTGCTCATACTTTACTGTGCGACCTTCAAAACATTAAACTTTGTTTTCTACCAGCAAACACAACGACTGTCATTCAGTCCATGGACCAAAGTGTCATCAAGTGTTTGAAAAGTCATTATAGGAGAAGACTTTTGATGACGTCATCCTAATGATTAGTAAATCCTGGGACGAGGTGACAAACAATACAATAAAACAGTACTTCAAACCAGCAGGATGGCTGGAAGATCAAGGATTGACTGATGATGATGAAGATGACCTACCATTAGATGTTTGGACCAGACAGTTTAAACTTACTATCACCTACGGACCGAAAGAGATAACAGATTTTGAAGAAGTTGATAAAAATGTAGCTGCAACATCTGGACTTTCTGAGCAGGACATCCTTCAAGCAGTTCGTGTAGAAAAGAAAACAGTGACCCGGAAGTGGAAGCAGAGCCAGAACCAGATCCAAACCCTCAGCAGGCATTGGATGCGGCAAAAGGACTGCATCGTTTCTTCGTCCACCACGAAGACGCTATGAGTGCTGTGGAAGATTCTACGCGTCTTCAGGACCAGGTCAGATCGGTTCTGTGAAAAGGAAAAAGGAAACAGACCAAGGTAACAGACTTTTTTGGTAATGTGGGCTAAATATATTTTACACTAGATATTATTTTGTTATTGTACAGTACACCTGTTTTAATTGTACAGTCATTTTTTTTATTCTGTATTGCTTATATTATTCTTTAATAAATCTATTTGGTGTACAATACAATGTTGATTTATTTATATTAATTTTGATGGATTTTTAAATTAAAATAGGTTATTTAGTACAGTAGTATTAATATTAAACTACCGAATTTTGTCTCTCTTTGTATAACGATCTCTCCTTATAACGATGAAAATTCCCGGTCCCTTTCATATCGTTACAGAGAGAGAGGACTGTATTATAAACCGTCTAGCACATACTACTCTAATTCGAGTACACACTCATAATAATTCAACTCTCCAATAGCTAGACATTCAAAATTAGTAACGTACCATAAGCCATCAATACATGTGTCTAAATACGTCGCTAAAAACTAATTATATTAAAAGTAGAGAATAGTTATGAATAAATTTTTTATTGTAATTTTCGAATACTGCATTCAGTTCTTTATTTTACATTTATGCGAATTTAAGTTGTCATTTTTGTATTTTTACAGTAATTACTATTTAAATGGGAATAAGTCACAATTAAAGGTTAAAGTAAGTTTATTGACGTTTCAATTTCCACTTCGAAAATCGTTCTCAAAATACAAACATTAGTGTTTATATTATATGTTATATATATATATATATATATATATATATATATATATATATATAATATATATATATATATATATATATATATATATATTAGTTAATGCAGTATGAAATGCCAAATTTCCGAAAAAGGGAATAAGCTTTCCGAACATAAAAAAATTTCCTTGCTCCTGGTACCAATATTTTTGTACAGCATTATGTCGCAGGTCATTATTTTTGTATTACCTACCTAAGTTATAAATACCGTACAAATATGTTTGGCCAAAAAGTCCTCCCCCTTGAGAGGTAAGTTTGTCTTACGTGTGACTTACTTGTACCGATAAGAATTGACTGCATAGTTTCTAAAGTTGTTATTACATACCATAGTATTATTTTATACGTGATTCATGCTGCCTCAAATGATCCATTAAAAATCTTCCATGGGCTTGTAGTCTAATAATTTGCAAAATGTTTTTTATATGATGTAAGTGTGAAACTCAAGCTGATTTAGATCTCTGAATGTGTTTTACTGGATTATTGCATCACTGTTTAAAAACTGATGCCACAGTTTTTAACCTTTATGATGTTTGCAGTTCTTAATAGCATGTATTAAACGGATATTGGCAAAAGATCTATATTGTTGAAGGTTTATATTTTTAAACTAATATATTTGTACTTACAGGGATCTTCAAAATAACTACAGTGTAAATAGTACCTCAACACAAATGGTGAACCAACAACCTGCACACCAATCATCTCGGACTCAGGCAACCACCACACCGGAGGAAAGAAATACCATTACAAATGGCAGGTCCATGATGAATAGTGTTAATAGGAACAATAATAGTAAACTTATCCAGTTGACAGATGCTCCTACCGCCGGTAGTAATAACATTCCATACAAGGTCCAAAAGGCTTTAGTGGAGGGGAAGATGATTCCGTGTATCAACATGAAGCCCAACGTATGGACGGATATGTTAGTGTCACTGCCAGACCTAATTACTCATTTTTTCAACAACGTCCCTGTACAGTCATGCCAACAGGTCTTACAGGTTCTAGGAATTGAAGTTTACAAAGCAAATTCGTAAGTATCTTTTATATGTACTTTTTTAGTTATCTTCCAGAAACAAATGTCTGTAAATCACTTCAAAAAGGAATGCATACCCCGTCCTTTCTATTTGAAAGGAATCAAGTTTGTACTTGAGTCACTTCATGATTTAGACAGGAATGTGTTTTATCGCCACTTTTGTTTAACTTACATTCTGAAGAAATTTTCCAAAACACGCTCAATAATATCAAAGCGGGAGTTACCGTTAACGGAAAATTAATTAACAACTTACGATATGCAAACGACACTGTGACCATAACAACGATTATAGAAGATCTACATCTTATCGAAAGCTTAAGTATCAATAGTGCTGAGATGTGAATTACTATAAACGCTAAAAAAAAGGAGTACATGCTAATTACATAAAGACCACAAAATATACATCACCTATTGATAACCAATGTTGACTTCCCGAAGAAAATACTACAAGAAAGGAAGCATCTTCTCCAGTATATGAAAATGGTACGCCAGGAAGGACACACAGCCGCATTAAAATACAACAAATTATGGATAAATGGTGAACCGTTCTCACTGGAGCAACTAGAAGGCATAGATGTAAATTACTGGAAGAAACCTGAAGAGAAGAAGGGTAACGCTAGGACAATAAACGACAGATCTCCCATATCTGATAATATAGATCCAAGAGGAAAATGGATGAAAATGGCTTCAAAAAACTAACAAAAAATATAACAAAAGACAGCGACAGTATAACGGAGTTGGCAATGAATACGGACATGAAACTGTTTTGTAAGAAAAGACGCAAAAACAAAACAAAATAAAGCAAGAAACAAAAATAGAAAAATAAGAATAGGAACGTGGAATATCAAAACACTTCTAAGACCAGGCAAAATGGAAGAATTGGCAAAAGAAATGATAAAATACAAGATGGGAATACTAGCGCTACAAGAAATAAGGTGGGCAGGAGAAGGGATGATTGCTAGAAGAAATTACACAATGTACTACGCAGGAGAAAGCAAACAGGGGCGCAATGGAACTGCCTTTCTAGTTAGTAACAGCGTAAGAGACAAGATTATTAACTTTAAAGCGGTTGATGGAAGAATATCATATATTAGAATGAAAAATAAACAAGCAAATTTAACATTTGTTAACATATATGCCCCTACTGAGAATGCTCCTGAAGAAGAAAAGAATGAATTCTATGATAAACTTGAAGAATTGTACGAAGAAATACCAAAGAACGACATACTAATCCTATTAGGAGACTTCAACGCAAAGATAGGGAAAGAAGACACGAACAGAGAAATCGCAGGAAAAGAAACAATCCATCAAAATACGAATAACAATGGCAGGAGAAGATGTAATCTAGCAGCAGCAACCAATACTTTTATTATTAGCACTCAATTCAAGCACAAAAAAGAGCACAAAGTAACTTGGCTAATACCTGGAACAACAGATGGAAACCAAATAGACCACATCCTAATCTCAAAAAAATGGAGAACAATTTTTCAGAATGTAAGGTCTTACAGGGGAGCCAATGCTGATTCGGATCACATTTTGGTAATAGGCGATATGAAATTGAAGATACTTAAAGATAAAAACGACAGAAAGAAAAGAAAGAGGTGGAATCGGTCGAAACTAAATACAGATAATGCAAACAGAAAACTCTGCACTAAATTGGAAGAAAAACTACTAGTCCTAAAACCATCGAACATAGATAAAACATGGGAAGACATAAAAGATAGTATCTTAACAACAGCAGAGGAGGCGATAGGACTAATGGAAAACAATAAAAGAAAGGATTGGTACGATGAAGAATGCGAGCAAGCTAGTAAAGAAACAAAGCAAGATAGTGGCCACAGGGAAACATCTCCTACACTATAAAGAGAGAAAGAAAGAGTCAGACAAGCAAAAGTAATAAAGAAGAAATGGGGTGCAATAAGACTATACATACTCACAGAGAAAGAGATAAAGCAATGAACTACTATAGAGAAAAAGAAAGAAGAAAATGAAGTACAGAAATTGACAAGATAGAAAGCATAAACAAAGAGAAAGAAAGAATAAATGCGAATATACTAGAACAATACTAAAATCCGAACGACTGAATTGTGGTCTGATAACACCAATCCCTAAAAAAGGCGACAAGACGAAATGCACTAACTACAGGGAATCACGTTATTAAATACAATGTACAAAATATTAACTAATAGAAAAAGAAACTAGAACAAAAATAGGTGAATACCAACATGGATTCAGAGAAGGTAAGTCAACAATAGATGCAATACACATTGTAACGCAAATAGTCGAAAAAAGTTACGAGCACGGAATAGATCTACATATACTGTTTATTGACTACAAGCAAGCTTTTGACAGTGTAATAAGGGAGGAGCTAATTAAGGATATGAATCAATTAGGCATCCAAGAAAAATTAATAAGTCTCACGAAAATGACGATGAAGGAATCCAAGGCACGAATCTTAACAAAGGAAGGCCCGTCAGATGAAGTACAAATGGAGGTAGGTGTCAGACAGGGAGACTTCCTGTCAACAACATTATTTAACATTGCCATAGAGGGCGCAGTAAGAGCAGCCAAAATTATGGGAACGATTATCGAATCTTCAGCCCAACTGATTGCGTATGCAGACGATATTGCACTGGTTACTAGAGATTTTAAAACCATGCAGAACATAATATTAATACTAGATAAAGAAGCAAAGAAGAGAGGGCTAGTAATAAACCAAAGCAAAACGAAATATCTCAAGTGTTCAAGAGGGAATACGAACATAGAGAAAGAAATTAAGCTTGGTGCATATACATTTGAAAGAGTACACCGTTTCAAATACCTGGGAGTGATGGTAAATGACAGAAATGATAGAACAGATGAAATAAATGAACGCATCCTACTGGGTAATAAAACCTACTGGAACTACCAAAAATTCCTGAAAGAAAAACACATTAGTAAGAAAGCCAAATTAAAAATTTACAAGACTGCAATCAGGCCAGTGATCACCTATGGTGCAGAGACGATGTGCCTAACACAAAAAGATGAAATGAGGTTAGAAATCTTAGAGAGAAAGATAATTCGACGAATAATGGGGCCAGTGAGGATAAGTGTAGGCGAATTTAGAAGATTAACCAATATAGAAATTAAAGAAGTCATCGAGGGTGAAGACATAATCAAGTTCGTTAAGACGCAAAGGCTCAGGTGGCTGGGGCACACAGAAAGAGCTAATCCAGACTCTACGCTAAAGCGAATAACTGGATGGAGACCAACAACAAAGAGACCAAAGGGGAGACCCAAAACAAGATGGAGAGATCATACAATTGGAAGGAGCGCTGTAAGGATCGGAAAGAATGGAGGAAAATTGTAGACAGGGCCAAGTCACACACGCTGCTATAATAATAAAAAGAACAACAGCGGACTGATTCTCCGCAATAAATGAATCAGAGAGCCCAAAAGGGCGGCAAACACTCCGCCAGGAGTGAATAAGCCATGATGATGAGTGATAACCAATGGTAACGTGATAGAACAAGTAGAAAAATATCAGTACTTAGGAACTTTGATCAATGAAACCAATGATCATACTGCAGAAATAAACAGGCCAATAGAGATTGTCAGATCAGCATTTATACCAATGAATCCACTCCTAACGTCCAAAAATCTAAATTTGGAGATCAGACTAGGTACCATTCGCTGTTAATATTTACAATATTATTATATAGACCTGAGACTTGGATATTTCAATTTAAAAAGAAACAAGGGTTTCGAACTCTGGTTACACCGCAGAGTATAAAAATATCATGGACTGATAGAATCATAAATAAAGAAGTACTGAAGAGGGTTGGTAAAAAGACAGAACTAATCACGACTATACAAACCAAAAACCTGGAATATCAAGGCTACGTGATGAGGGGACCAAAATATAAAATTTTGAGACTCATAATACAGGGAAAGATTCAAAGAAGAAGATCTGTTGGCCGAAGGCAGAATTCATGGTTGAAGAATCTACGTGATTGGTATCATCAATGCAGATCGATTGATTTGTTTAGAGCAGCAAGTTCAAAAATAAAAATAGCCAATATGTTTGCCAACCTCCGTAGTGAGATGGCACTCTAAGAAGAAGACTTGAGCCACACCATAACATGTGTGAAGCTCATCAGACAGGAGTCGATAGGTGAACACAAACGAAAGACAAATCTCTTAATCAAATTTCCTTTACGGAGTCAACATAATACAGAAAACAGATAAAACATGGAGGTATTTTAGAAAACCAAATTTGTAGCCTGCTGAGGAAAACTTTTGAACAAGAGTAAATGCCTGAGAAATGTAGTCTGTCTAATATGTCTCACAAAATATGCGATAAAACAAAATCTGCGGATTAAAGTCGTATTGTGTAACTTAATGTTATGTATAAAGTACTTGTCAGAGCTTTTAGAAGCAGACAGGACAAAATGTACAGTTCGGACAGTATCAAGGAGTTCGTAATGTCATAAAACAGTGACGAAAAATTAGAAAAGTATTTTAAATTTTCTTTTCTCAGATTTTACAGTAATTTTAGTAAACCCATAATATAATCTGTTCAGGTATAAAATATTAAGAGCGAAGGCGCAAAATTTCAGGCCAAATTTTCTCAGGATTCGAAAAAATGAATGCATTTAAAAAGCATTGGCCCGAAATTTTGCGCCTAAGCTCTTAAGAAGCTCATAAGTTTCTTAAAAAGAGGGATTAAAATTTTCAAACTATCTAAAATTTCTGTCAGGTCAATATTTCAGTAAATATTTATAGTTCTGTCTGTTTATACCTTTGAAAATAACATGCAAAATTGTTAATTTTGTGCTAATAGCGACAAAACGCAATATTAGGTGATCTCGTGAAATAAAAGTTTAATAGTGTATTTGAAGACTGAAATGTTAAATACACGTGACATTTTTGTATATGAACAATTAAGAATACTGTTCAGAGTATCGTTTGTAAGTATTTAACCATGATCTTGACATGACAGAAGAAACCATGTATTG